CCGCACCGGAAGCGAACCCCTCAACCCAACCTCTCAGCGAGATCGACATCTCCCAAGGCCGTTACGAAGAGCTCAAGCCAGCCCAACCGACGGGTACACAAGGTGAGCACAAGGTCATACAACAAGGCACGGATCGGAGTACCCCCTCCGTGAGTCGGCAAGTCTGGGCAAGTGGAAGATCGACACTCATACAAGCAATTTTGTGAGATCGACTTCACCACAGTAGCGTGAAAGCTTTGGTCATCTTCATCATCCAACATATTCATGTTGGATGTGAACGCGGTCCTTGGACGGACTACGAATTGCTACCAGGTGTAACGGGGCACCCTGAAGCTTGTACTGGTGACAGTACAAGCTACTTATTCTGATGACAGAATAAGGCGGTGCCTCGTAACTTCACGTACTCTCGTACGTGCAGAGGAAGACGGTAAGAAGAAGCGAGTACTCGGTTAGAGTAAAAAGTAGAACTGTATTTAGTATAGTTAATGTCTGCAATAAATCACTATTTATCTTCATCTAACTATGTCTAAATACAAATGTGTAAATCTGTAACGGGGCACCCTGAAGCTTGTACTGGTGACAGTACAAGCTACTTATTCTGATGACAGAATAAGGCGGTGCCTTGTAACTTCACGTACACTCGTACGTGCAGAGGAAGACGGTAAGAAGAAGCGAGTACTTGGCTAAAGTAAAAAGTAGAACTGTATTTAGTATAGTTAATGTCTGCAATAAATCACTATTTATCTTCATCTAACTATGTCTAAATACAAATGTGTAAATCAATTATCTGCTCACCACTCATTGCGTGCGTCTGTCGTGGCGCGTCTTCGTTGGTTGATATAATGGCCTATATCAACCAATTAGGAACTACTCGTAAGTGCTACAGAATATTTGTCCTTATGACAATATTCTGAGAATATAACTCTTATAGTTATGTTCTATTAACAATTTCTTATAAATTGTTATGTAACGATTCACCCCGTTACATCACCCCCCCCTTAACCATCAGTCACTTTAGTGACTGATTGACTAAATGGATACTCGTCCCAAATTATTTGGGACAGGGTTTGCACTTGTTGGTCCGCGTCCACTTTCCAACACCTCATAGTACGGTTAACAAGACCATGCGATGCGCGAGCAAGGCCGCCGAGAGCGCGTCCGCACGTCTCTGTACGGACGCCGAAGCAGAAACAACAGCAACTGATGTCTCATCGGTTGCTGAAGCGACCCAGCCTGTGTCACTTGGTGATGCAGGCGCTGGTCATGAAGACACTCGTGTCTTCACAGAGTACGAGCTCGGTGTCTCGTACTCTCCTGATACGGATGACGGATCCGTATCGACGGCGATTGAATTTAAGCCGCCTGCCAAGCGTGGCATGGACGATGCTTTGCGCCGCAGCATCTTTGGTTCATCTGATTCATCAGATGAACCATCGCCGAAGCGAAGGCGCTCGAGGTCGCGAGACTCGGGCGCTAACAGTGGTGCCGGTTCTCCTATGGATACCACTTCACAGCGAGGTGCCAGTACTTCTGTCGGCACGTCGCAGGAAGAGCGGGACCGCAATGTGTTGCGTCTCGCTCCAGAAAAGAAGGCATGGATGCCTCCTAAATCCGTCATGGATCACTTGTCGGCGACGACGAGTGATCGTTATCGAACACGATTGTTCGATTTGTCAAGGATCCATCACCTTGACCCCAGCGCGAAAAACTATCGCGCCAAACATTAATTCTTCATCGATGCTTTCTTTAGACATCGATGGTACAGTGGGAATCACAAACGTGATGGTCCCTCACTACTTCAGGCGTGGAACGCCTACATCCATAACCTCGAGGATGTAGGTCGTGACGCTTGGAACGACAAACTTATCAAAGCTCGTGATAAGTTTGAAAAGCGAACCCCGACAGGTGCACGCTACAAGCTGCATCGTCTGTCAAGGGAGAAAGGATTACCCTGCCTCTCTTGGGGAGACTCGTGCCCATGTTGTGTGAACAACTCTGCACGAGCACCTAACCTGCTTACCTCCTTACCAGCCCGTGGTGGCGCGTACGTGTCTCTACTGAGATGTACGAAGGGATTGACAACTTGAAATACCTTTACGACCGTGCCGGGAAGACTTTCTCCGGCGGTCCTTCTGCGGCACAGGATGTGCCGCGTCGTACTGCTCAACCAGACCCAGTACGTCGATCATCAGTTGGTAGCGGGGCTCCCAAGAATCCCAGGACGGGGGATAGCCGCGCCATCGGACGAGATAACTCGTCCGACGTCCGTTCACGTCGCGGTGGTTCAACAGCTGCTCAACTAGATAGCGCTGGCCACCGCGAGAGTCCTCTAATGGAGGTGGAGGAGGAGGAAAGACGCTCTCCACACGATCATGGGGATCCGTGTGTTCCCGAGAGCTTCTTTGATCGCGTAACGCAAGGGTTACGCGACGATCTCGAACATGAGCGGAATAGGCGTCTCCAAATGGCGGACACTGCCTCGAAGCATCGAGCTGAGTTTGCCTTTGCTCAGCTCGAGAACGAGAGATCTCTGACATCTCTTCGTGACGAGCTAAGGGTAGCTCGTGGGATTGTTGATCGGTCTCGGGCTGAGATAACTGCTCTTCAGACCCTTGATGATGCCCACCATCGGGAGCACAAGGCTCTCTGCGAGATGCTTGAGCGCAAGGGCGTTCTTCATCGGAAGAAGCAGCGTACTGATGGTACGGCTTAAGCCGACCAACGTAAAACGTGGGATGCGTTCGCATCTTACGTGGTAATTCGATCGTGTATGCATTGCCTAGGCGGTGCAATACACGAAAAGGGCCGATGTACTTGGGTAGTAGTTTACTGCTACCCAAGTTAGTCACTACATGCTTTGGTAGATTAACCGTAGACAGTAGGACTAAGTCACCTTTATTAAATAAAAGAGTGTTTGCCCTTCCATTCTTGTCAGCGTTTTGCTTTTGCTTATCCACCGCTTCGGCGATGGAGTCTTGCACAAAACGGACTACCGTTTCACGAGCCAGTATGAACTCATCTGATGACTCGTTAGCTTCAGTGTGCTGTGAGCGCACTGCAGCAACATCAACCTTTTCTTCAGTGAGGGCTTCCGCACTTTCACTGGCATCATCTTCTTCGATATCGATGTTATCGATATCGGCATCAAACGCAATGACTTCTTCGTCAGAGCGTGATGAGCGTGAACCAATTCGGTTTTTGCTCGCGCGAGTCCCTCCCCCCCTTAAACCAGAGTTACACTCTAGTAAGGTGGGTACACGCGGATGGCGCAAGCCATTCACGTAAAACGGTGTATGTGTCGTGGACGCATGCACCGAGTTGTTGATGGCAGACTCTACCATTGGCAAAAACTCACTCCAACTCTTAAAGGAGTGTACGTATCCTCGAAGTATCTCTTCAAGGACGCGATTGGCACGTTCCGTCTGACCATCTGACTCTGGATGATCAGATGTCGACATCTTCAAGCGCGTTCCGAGTGATTTGAACACGGAACGCCAGAAATCAGCAGTGAATCGTGGATCTCTGTCTGATACGAGTTCACGGGGCAACCCATGAAGTCGGAAGATGGTGTCAATAAAGACACAAGCACAGCCACTTGCCATGATTGTCTCTGGTACAGCCACAAGGTGTACCATTTTGCTGAATCTGTCAACAAATACGAGAATACCCGTATTCCCGCGTGCGTCTTTGGGTAACCCGAAGACGAAATCCATTGAGATGGATTCCCAGCACTCAGCCGGAACCGGTAGAGGCTGTAAAGGTGCACGCAGTGAAGGACTTGACTTCACTCGTTGGCAGACTTCGCATGCGCGAACATACTTTCGCACAAACTGATACTGGCGGGACCAGTAAAAGTCTCGACTTACCGTGAGATATGTTTTCTCTCGGCCACGATGTCCTCCTATAGGAGCATCGTGATACTCGAACATGATCCGCAAACGCAGATCAGTATCATCTGGAATGACAACATGTGGTGTGTCACCAGAAACGGCTGTATAGTACAGTAACCCGTTGCGAGTAGTGCATCGATCTGATGCAGATCGATACGCAGACGATAACTGTTTCAACGATTCTCGAGATGGTTGAGAGAGATGTGTCAACAATTTCACAATCTCACCATCTTGGGCGTGTGCCCGCCTCACATCATCATAAAACGTTGTAGATGGGACTGAGGACGTCATAACCGCAACAGTGACTGTCTCACTGTTAAGTTTTCACGACTGGTTCAAAGTCGGGCCGACGTGAGAGTGCATCAGCGACGACATTAAGTCGTCCTGGTTTGTACTCGACCGTAAAGTTGTATTCTGCAAAGAATGACAACCACCGCGCCATTCGTTGTGAAAGGTGCGGGCTGTTCACTGCCGTGCGTAACGACGCATGGTCTGTGTAAACAATGAAGGGTCTATCTCCTAATAGATAGACTCTGAACTTCGCGAGTGCATACTTCATGGCAAGGGGTTCCTTGTCATGCACTGGATAGTTCCGCTCAGCTGGTTGCAGCTGACGCGGCTGATAGCAGACGACGCGTTCAACGCCTTCAAGATCGTACTACATTAATGTACAGCCAATTGCGAAATTGCTGGCATCACAGACTACATGAAATGGCCTATCCTGATCGGCTATTGCTAGGACTGGGGATTGCATCAAGCTCTGCTTTATACCATCAAAGGAGCGCTGACATTCAGCGTTCCATAACCACCTCTCGTTCTTTTCCAACAAACGAGAGAGGTGCACAGTCATCTCGGCGTAATGACGTGAATACTTATGCAAATACGCCGCTAGCCCAAGGAATTTTCGAAGACCTTTGACATCAACCGGCACAGGCCAGTCGGTGATCGCCTTGATCTTTTCGGGATCAGGACGTACTCCGTTCTTACCAACGATGCACCCAAGAAGTGGTATTTCGCTTGCTGCAAATATACACTTCTTGAGGTTTGCATACAATTGATGCTTATGCATGATTGTAAGAGCCTGTCGGACGTGGTATCTGTGAACCTCAACATCCGACTTTCCATCCATAGCTCGAATATGGATGAATCGTCATCGAAATAACTCGGCGCGAATTCTCGTACTGGTTTCAACAGATGTGATACACATCTGTTGAACGTGGCAGGGGCATTACTAAGCCCTTGTGGCATTACTAGCCATTCCCAGAGCATACCGCTAGGCGTGCTCACTGCGGTATAGGGTATATCCCGTTCCCGCATAAGGATTTGATAGAAGCCATCCATCAAATCCATGGACGAAAAGATGGTACTCTTTGACATACCATCAATGATTACGTCCTTCCTCGGTATCGGCGTCTGAGCCGGTACCGTTGCAGCGTTCAATTTGTTGAACGCGTGCACTATCCGCCACCCTCCTGTTGCTTTTCGCACACAGAAGGTCGGAGAGCTATGTGGGGAAGTTGATTCCCTCACATGGCCCGCTGCTAAACGATCGGCAAAGAACTTGTCGATCGCAAGTACTTGTTCACGAGGCAGTGGCCACTGCTTCATGACACAGTACTTCGAGCCTGGTTTAAGCTCGACCTCGTGTCGAATACCTTTATCCTTCGGTAATTCGCACGGAACAGTTTCAGGGAATACATCCTTGAATTCAACCAAATCTTCAAAGAGAGGATTTGTCTTGAGCGATTCCCACGATTGGGAGTCATATCGCTCAATTCGTGTCTTTTCATCTAGGACACTCTCGTCCATAGATGAACTACTGAGAACTCTCTCGTTCTCAGTAAACACTGTTGCTGACCTTATGTCGGTTACACACTCGTCGTCAGCGACGAGTATGCAGATCTGCTTGACTTTGCCACTACGCAGATCACGCAAGAACCTTTTATGTTCGAGCGTTGGCAACTGAGTGATCTCCGAAGTTAAGTTCGGAGGCGCAATCAGATCAAGTGTATAAGCGCCTACACTTGATCCGTTATTGACTATGACATTCAATGTCTCTGTCATTTCCTGGGGACTTATTCCCTCAGGCTTCGAAGGACTTATTCCTTCGGCTTCCCGGGGACTTATTCCCGCGGGTTTCGGGGAACTTATTTCCGCCGTATTTGTAATCTTGGGACTTATTCCCTTTACTTCCTCTAGCTGGGGTTGCGCAACCACAGCGAGATCCTCTACGAAAGACTCTCCAGTCGATCTAGGATTATCGTTTCGCTTAACCTGAGCGATCGATTGTTTCTCTTCTAGATGTTCCCCGCTAGGGATACATCTTTGTCCCAGTACACCCGACTTATTCGAGTGGTGGACCTTCGGCGCAGCCTGTGTTTCCTCACAGCCGCCGGAACTTTGCTCCGAAGTGTAACCGTTTGGTACACTAAGGTTTTGTGCAGTCGTACTAACGACCGTACCACAAGTGAGGCCATCGCACTCACTCGTAGTACATCCACACGCTTGTGGACGCTCCAAAACGTTCATCAGATGGCCATCTGATGAACAAGCGGCAGGCATCGTTACTGTCCGATGTTGCCAGTTTACTCGTGATTCGTACTTTCTGAGCCACGGTATTCCAAGGATGACATCAAATTTGTCATCCAAATCCAATACGATAAAGTCATCGTCATATTGGGTATCTTCTAGCGTATAGTGGATCTTCACTATACGCTTCATGACGGTTACGGATGCGCCTGTCGCAAGACGTACCGTCATCCTCGTAGGAGGTGTGTCACATTCACTGAACTTAAAGTGACCATCTTCTAGCGATTGGCGTCGCACAAAATTGTTGGACGCCCCACAATCGACTAGAGCTCGAAGGGACAACTTATTCGTCACTTCGAGCTTCAAGGTAATGAGTGAGACCTCATTACCTAGAGCAGCAACGCACAACGTTTGTGTGTTGGGAGCAACCTTCATCAAGAGGCCTACAAATTCTCTTGACGTTGCTGGATCAGTAGGGTGCTCCGCACCTACTGATCCTGTCCGTTTTTTGACGGTCCATCCCGTTGTTGCGTCTTTGCACCAACTGCGGACCCTCGTCCCTGCCCCTTTCTCATGGGTGGACGGTCACTACGCCCAGTGTCGCGAGACACTGGACGAGGGGCACTACACTCGTAAGCGTAGTGTCCTGTCTTTTGACATCTGTTGCATCTCTGCAACCTCTTGTAGCCTGTAGAGCGAGCCTTCTCGCTCTCTACATAACAGAGTTCCATCGGCTCTGGACCTCCGTTGTCGTATCGTCTCGGTTGACGATATGATGTCGAGCTGGCGCGAGCCTGTCTCAGACTGAAGTCTTCCTGCTCCGCAATGGAAATGGCTTGTTCTAGTGAATCTAGTTCAAGCCGGAACAGGTGAGTCTTGACGGGACCATCCGCAAGACCCTGCATGAACACCGAAACCAACGTGTGTTCATCCACCGGATTGGAACTTATACAACTCGTGAGATGTCGTATATGTTGAGCGTAAGCGTGTACATCACGCTTACCCTGCTTGAGCTTCAAGAGTTCGGTTCGAGCTCTGAACTCAGCTCTAGGCGGTTCAAACGTTTGTCTGAGCCGCGACTTGAAGACTTCCAACAACCCAAACGCATATGGGTCGTGCAACTTGAGCCCCAGTGCCCAAGTCTTGGCACGTCCTGCCAGATTTGACTGGGCAAATGCAACTTGCATATCCCCGTCGTCGATGCGACGCGCCCTTATGGCGTCATCCAATTCGACGAACCATCTCAAGAGGGAGTCTTCTTCGACCCCCTATACTTGGAGATGTCAATCTTCAA